GCCGCTTACTAACGTGGGTCTTAATATGCACCATTTAGTAACTCGTGAAGTAAATGTGTCCTAAAAGTAAAAAAACGAAAAAAGAGAAAAGAGGCATATATGGGTGGGCCGTGGGGGAGTATGTGCCAGTGTGCAACATAACTGGAGAGAGCACGCAATGGCGGATCTATGTTCCAAACTATGGGTGTTCATTTATTTTCTACAATTAAAATTTGAAAAGGCAATAAATAATTAAATTTATACATGTATACTAGCTTATTTAATTTTTTTCAAAACTAGGTGTTCATATGAACACCTTTGCACCTATATAGCTCCCCCACTGAGAGCACGTAGCATCCATTGAGCAAGTAGCGGTGTATTTTTGTTTCTTATGAAAAAACGGTACCATATTGGGGATCGGTATACCATGCACATGGTATATTGATCCCACGATATAATTTGCTGGTTAGGCGTGATTAATTTGTAACTGAAATTAATGTTAGATGATTAAAATGAATCAAATTAAAGTTAATTGATCAAATTGAAACTCAACAAAACGTGAAGTGATCATTCAAATTAATTGCGGGAGTGCTTGGGTCTATTTTCTAAAATTGTTTCTAAATGATTCAAATTGCCCAAAAATTGTTTTTCAGAACTGTTGGGGAGGAACATTGATTATGCATGCTAGTATGTTCAAAAAACAAGCAGAAAGAGAATGATTACTCCTGCATACGTTCTAGCAATCTAGCCGGTTAGATGGCCGGCGCTCTGACTTCTGTTAGGTGTATTTATGGGTAGCTCTACTATATTATGAATGGGCTGAGCCGCTGAGGTATGTAATGCGGTGGCACGAATTATCGATCCTTAAATTGATTGCATGCATATGGTAGTGCCACGTACGTACGCACATATATGTACTAGTATAAAACACTCTAATACTCCCTCCGTATCTAATATTCTCTAGTCTTTTATAATTTTTTCAAATTTCATTTTTTTGTATGTCACACTAATTTTGTCAATTTCCCTTTTAAGTAAAGAATTTGTAATTCCAGTTAATTTTATCTTCTCTGCACAAATCTCAACCACATAGCTTTTACTTTATTAATCCTCGTGCCGGTCAAACTTGACAAAGTTATCAGGGACGGAGGGAGTAGTTGATTTGTCTCACTTTCCTTTTTGGGTGTACTAAATTAATTGTCTAAGTTTTTTTGTTAAAAAACCAACTCAAAAAGCAGGTACAATACCCTTACAGTACCGCTACAGTACAAAAAACCTCTTAATTTTTATAAAGTTTACGGTAATTGACTTAAATTCCGTGAAAAGCAAACATGACAACTAATTAGATACGGAGGCAGTATAACTCTATATTAGGTGTGTCTAGGTGCAATTTTATTCAAATTTTATGAGCATATTCTTCGTATAAAAAATTATGAAGTATAAATTTATTATGTCAATGAAACTTTAGCTAAAATGTAGAAACAGATAGGGGCGGATCCAGGGGTCATGGTGGTCAGCTGATCCCGTTGAAAGTTCCAGAATGTATGTAGAGCTTTGATTTATATACTCCATATGTCCCTTATAACTTTGCCGATTTTCTTTTTTTGTATGTCACATTAACTTTGCTACTTTCCCTTATAAGTAAAAAGTTTGTGCTTCCAGTTAATTCTCCCTCATCTGCACAAACCTCAACCACACAGTTTTTGCTTTATTAGTCCCGTGTCGGTCAAACTTGGCAAAGCTATTAGGGACCGAGAGGGAGTATATATATATATATATATATATACTTGGTCTACATGTGTAATGGTATGTGTGGGTGGAAAAAGTAATAACTAGCTAGCTAGATGGAGATGAAATTGGTGGGTGTGGTGTTTTTGTTGGTGGTTGCGATGCTGGGTAGCAAAAGCGATGCCATTCGTGACACCGGCCATCCTCTGAAAGGCATACTGATGGTGGTGACAAGTGGGGTGCGCGGCGATTGGTGCCAGTGGGAGGGCGAGGAGTGCGACTGGAGCAAGACGTGCTGCGAAGGGTATTGCACGGCGTGGACCAGCGGTTACTGCACCTGCGTCGGAGCCGGCGGGACCTGTGGCATACAACACGGCTGCTGCCCTAACTACCAGTGCGACGGCTACATCTCCGGCACATGCATCTCACGCTAAGCTTTATAGCTACTACTCCGTATGTATATAAGCCTAATTTAAGCCGCTAGCTATGATAGTATACGTCTTCTAGCTCGCTAGCTCTAAAATAAAACGAACAACAATAAGCTAAATAAGCCCATGGATCGATCATCGTGTGCATCGATTAGTGCACGGTTTAATTTCTTTTGTAATGTTGTGCGTTGCCCTTGTAAACTATGACGGCCTGCTGCCATATTTTGTCAATTTTATGAGTTGACAAATTCTATGATACTCCCAAAGTCCCATATTTTGTCTAGATGAACCAATTAGATGAAGGTGACAACTCCGGTAACTTTCTAAAAACAGAGGTACCGTACCTAGCATTCATTTGATTGGACCACATCACTTTATCAATTTTAATTTAGATTTAATTAATTCAACTGCTACCTTTTCATTGGTCCATGTGGACAAAGGTATGGTACCTTATGGGTACCATTGAAACGGATCAATATTGTTGTAATTAAGAGGATCGGAACGGATCTAGACAAGGTAGATTCTATGGTACCCATAATGTACCATACATTTATTTAAATCTAAATTAAAAATGATAAAGTGATGTGATCCAATCAAATGAATGATAGGTACGGTACCCCATATTTTAAAAAGGTACCGGAGTTGTCACCCCTAGACAAATGTAGTTATTGATCGAGGCACCATTTATACTTATCAAGTAAAAAAGTTACTTTGTAAAACCGTCACGGCGCTAGTAATTGTGCGGATCGGCCAGATTGCTTTGTGTTGTTTGGATGGAAAGAGGAGGTATGATTGGATTATGTCTTGTTTGGATTACCTCAGGGTGGAGACCATATGATTGGGGTGCTCAAGTGAGGCAATTTCTGGATAGAGTCCGGCCTGAGCAAGGGAGAAGACAGATTGGCGGTCCGTCCTCCTAAACTGCCGCCCTGGAGCGATCGAGGTGCTAGGTTTTGGAAGATGATACTTCAAGAATAGTGACAGGAAGGAGCTTGAAGTATTTATCAGTTATTTTATTTTGTATGGTTTTACTTTCGTGTTATGTTTGTTTATGTTGCTCTGTTTTTTGTTGTTGTCTTTAGTTTTAGGTCTACAATTATGATTTTTAATTATGCTCGAAATTATGTTGCTAGAAGGATCTATATAACCCGTGATTGTTGTGTCACACCTGTTTGGTGGTTAGCGATTCATATTGCTCTTTCAGGGGTGATCGTTTCTAAATCTAGCTGCAGAGTTGATAGTGCTAGTTGGTTCCTGATAATTGTTGTCAGTGTTGGTTTCTTCGAGTTTGTTGATATAGTGTTGTCGTTAATTATTAATAATGAACTTTGTCGTTAAATTAAAACCATTAACGATGGAAGCTATTACAACAACTTGACAACAACAAAATCGTCGTTAACAGTTTTAATAACGAACTTTTGGGCCTACAACGAGGAATTTTTTTGTAGTTAAAAATGCTTTTTAAAGTTGTAATAATCCGAATCCTAATAATGATATTAATATAAGCAGATTTTCCTTTAAAGTTACTTTGTACGTAGTATTAAAGATTGAAACAACAACATATACATTAATTTTAAGGATACAAGTTCTAATGTTCGAAAAGAAACCGCTCAAAATAGGACTAAAAGATAGCAGTATATAATACGTCAAGATTTTTTTTGTAACAAGGAGGCTTATATTGATAATAAAACATTCAGCAAGAGACACAAGAGATAAAGGTAACACTGCCAGCCACCGAGCATCGAACCAACCGGAGAACCAATCACCCTTGACAGAGCAATGTGATTAGTTGATCCTGTAGTGGGTCTAAATGAGCCTAACGTAGCCACAACAAAACTCTTATCACGCCTACTTAATATAAGAGTCTCACAAAAGTAAGCGTACAGTAAGGTTGTTAAATAGGATTACATACGTAGTACTCCGTATATTTTATGACTAAAGTAAAAGATTGTACCATTAAAAGAAAACGATTAATAAAAATCTAAATAGGAGTGCATGAGTCCCCTTTTGAGAACAAAATAAGGATACTCCTATTTGAGAAAATTTGTTACGCAGTACTTCGTATATTTTAGTATTATTTAGAGAATATTCTCTTATTAAAATAAAGTACTTCATCCGTTCTCTAATACTTGTCCCTCTTTCCATTTTGGATTATTTTCTAATATTTGTTCCTCTTTCCATTTTTGGAAAGTTTTTTCAATCAATATACTCCACTATTTACCCTCATTCTCTTTCATACTTTTTCATTCTCTTTCCTATTTTTTCATTTAAACACAACCCACGACACCTTTTACACTACCCCTATTATTTTCCTCTTAAAACTTGTGTCAAACCCTATAGGGACAACTAATGGAGAACGGAGGGAGTATTAATTAAGTTGTGCATTTTATCACAATTGCTCTTGATGACACTGAAATCACTTGTGCCTAAAAATAAATTTCGCAGAACATAGAAAAATGATGGCAGACTTTGCCAATAAAAATGTAGAATATGCTCATTGATCTGTGAATGCAAATCCGATTGCCAATAAGTTAGCTCAACAAGCTTGTTTAGAGTCTATTGTATGTGGGTGAGATACTAGCCTTGAATCTTGATCGTAATGTCAATTTGCTGAAGAGCAACTATCATTAATAAACTTATTTGATTCCGAAAAAATGATACAATGTATCCTTAAAATTGTTTTAAATAGAAGTAAAGGTAAAGTTACTTTTGTAAATGATAGTATTATATTTCTTCACTAGTTCAGTTAACATTCTCGTTCAAAACGCCTTAAAGGTATGATGGATTACCTGTAGGGGTAGAAAAATATACTTGAAAGCCCAGGTGTCAAACAAATTATGAAACCATAATACTAGATCTTAAGTGAGGATTAGACTTGAATGTCGTATAATATCTTGCTGGTAAGAAGCATCGCATGAAGAAGAAGAAATCATGAACAATATGAGATTGCCTCATTCACTTGTTGTATGCTTCGATGCTTCTGTCATCAATAGTTTATCAAATCGGAGTATTTACACTGCACTTTACCCGAACATTTGAAATTAGAAACTTATGGAAAAAGGTGTTTGAGAAAAACCATCAAGCCAAGGTCTCTGATGCACCAAGCTATATGTTAAAGGATAGGGCAACCAGGGGCAGTACTATATGCAGAGAGTTGGTGAAGAATCTAAACCCAACTCAGCTGGTTCAACCCAAAGATAGCTAAGAGCAGTGACCACATCACTCATCATTGGCCTTAAGGCTGGATCTTCATTCAGGCACATTACTGCCACTGCAACTGCTTGGGATAACCCTTTCTTTGGAAAGTTCCCTTTCAGATTGGGATCAGCCAATTCCGAATGCCTACTTGGATCTTGGGTGATCGGCTCGGCCCATTTGACTAGCATTTGATCATTGCCACATTTGGTTGTAAAGATGGCTCTCTTTCCTGTGATGAGCTCAAGCAACACAACTCCAAAAGTATAAACATCGGATTTGACAGTTAACTGACCTGTCCTTTGGTATTCAGGAGCACAATAACCATACGTCCCCATTACTCTTGTAGATACATGACTCTTTCCCCCCATAGGCCCAAGCTTGGCTAACCCAAAATCAGAGAGCTTGGCATTGTATTTCTCATCTATTAGAATGTTTGAAGACTTCAAGTCACGGTAGATGACAGGCGGGTTGGCTTTTTCGTGTAAATACTCCAAACCTTTGGCAGCATGTAATGCGATTTTCATTCTGATCGACCACTCCAATGGAGCTTGGTTTGGTGGAATATCTGACGAAACATGAATATAAATCTGACTCATTATTAATTGTGAATGAAATGACAATCATCATCTAAGTTCCAAAAAAATAAGAAACCACCTGTAACTCCTTTATCGAGTCATATTGGTTAACTTGACAATAACACCATTCATTTTTATAGTAAGGTCCAGCCTTGGAAACATCATATTTTAAGATTCCAATCATTTATCTAGTAACAAAAAGCATTGGGGCAAACCATGTTCACAATAATTGGGAAGTGATCATTTGGACCGAAATTCACTAATTAGTCTTGCGATATTATCATTGCCTAACTTGAAAATTGCACTTTCTTGCTCTAAAATGTGAAATATATAGGCATACCAAGAAGATGGTCTTCAAGGGAACCCAAAGCCATGAATTCATAAACGAGAAGCCGCTGATCTCCATCAGCACAGTAGCCAATTAGGTTGACAAGATGTTGATGGTGCAGAAGGCTTAGCATCAACACTTCCACCAGGAATTCTCTGTTTCCTTGCAACCCATTGCGGTCTAGTTGCTTCACTGCTACAATCTGTACCAACCAACAATGCACAGATCCTCAATATATCAATGACTCAAGGGTAAAAGGGTGCATACTCCACATTCCAATCAAATTTAGCCAAATTAAGTGAGTTTCATGACTTATTTAAACTAATACTTGAAACAACACTAATTCCAAATGTCCATATCTAGATATATTCACCAACCTCTAAATTAGAGGTAGGCATTTTGGTTAGGATGCCTGAACCAAAAGTGAGCCATATTCAATTTGATTTGGATTTGGTAACATTTCATCCACATCGTATAAAAACAAGCTAAATTCGTAAACAATATATAAAACCAAACTGAAGAAAAACGATACTCTATCTAAAGTAAATAAAACATTAGTACCAACATCCTAACGTTATTCCCAAAAGAGCTTAGGTCAATTTATTTTCTTACTTTCAACGGAATCAAAACAAACTAAATATTGAAATACAAATGCCCATATATGTATACTACCCAAATGATACCTGTCCTGTATTCTCCAAATAACCCTTGTAAACGCGGCCGAAGCCACCTTCACCGAGCAGACATTCTTGCCGGAAATTCTTTGTGGCCGCCGCAAGTTCCCTAAATGTGAATATATGTGCCGCAATGTTCCTATTGCCTCCATCTTTGTTCTCAGTTTCTTTCGGATTGACAGTTTTCTTTTGGATCTTCTTCACCTTGTCTGATGAATTCAATCACACCCAAGGAAAAACATCATATAATACTTAGATTTTTTTCCAAAGAGATAATTTACAGGAAATTCGCAGCGCGTTCAAATACCACGACAAAACGAATGTGTCGGCAGCCAACGCCGCAGAGAGGGATCAATGAGGCGGTGGTGGACGGACACCGGAGCATTCTTCCGTCTGCTTCCGCTTCTAATCTTCTTTGAGGCCTTCTTTTCATGAGGCAAAAAACAATAGAAAAGACTCATTTTGGTTCTCTCTGCACCTAGAAATGGGCATATGCATGATCAATTAACTGCGTGAATACAAAGGCTATAATTTCCAGTATTTTTCTATGTGCGTATTTACGCGAACGTGGAGAAGGAATTGGTGATCAGATGCAGGGGAGGAGAAGAAACAGAGGAGAGGCGGTATGTTTTCCTCCTCGGCGCTTCCCGCATAAATTGGGGATGCGATTTGATGAAGAATAATACGGAGTATAGAGCATGGTCATCCGTTAGGCCTGCAGGAGCGTCACAAAAGGGGTAAAAGCTCATTTGTGTATCTGAATTTATATCTCAGCCTATTTGTGTGTCTCACAAAAGCTCACTATGAATTGCTTCACTTTAATGAGTTGCTTTTGTAAGCCACAAAAATATGACGGGTACAAACTGGGTACAAATTGGAATACAAATTGAGGTACCTTTATCATTTTTGTTAAATTAAAAGGGGTAAAAGTTGCAATTTTAAAAGGCGTAACATATAAATTTTTACAATATAAATGCATTAGCTCCGAAAAGTATGTCCTGAAAATGATATAACTGAAAAGATGTTATTGATGTCAGCTTTTTGTTAAAAAAGTGTTCTTTTCTATCGTAAAAGTTTTGTAAATATTTATTAGTTACAAGTGTGTTCAAATGAATTCTTAAAGATAACTGTGCAGTTAAAAGTGCAGTTACCTTCAAGAATTCATTTGAATGTCTTTCCGGTTGAAATTTTAGCTGAAATTTGGTATGAGTAAACTAGATTCCATGAATAAGATGCTAAAAAAAATCATCAAAAAAATTCCACCGGGAATCGCCCCAAATGGCAACGGCCGGACAGGGCGTCCTTTATAAGGGCTTATTTGACCTTTTTGTGTAAGTTCGAGAGTATATCTGACCTTTTTCCCTTTTTCTTTTATTTGACAAGTTAATATGTTTATATAAGGGATTTTGCGCATAATTAATTAAAATAAAGGGGGTTTGACACATTTTTTAAATCAAAGGGGACTAATCCGCCGAATTTTCATATCATGAGGGGTTTATGTGCATTAAACCTCAGTTTTACTCCATGTACTAAAGCGTCTAAGGCAGACAAAGTCTATTTCCGAATGATTCATAGTGAAAACTACATCGAAATTGCAATGATTATACTCGAAAGTACATGACTAAGATTACAAATCTATCATTTGAAAGCGTATAAAAACCTGAGAAGCTCGAGTCGTTTTACTTGAGGTTTGGGGAAAATACCATTGTTCCTTCAAATTCGATCATAATTATCAGTTAAATTGTACAGTTTCAAAAATTAATTAATTATAATTATTCTTTTTTACGTCAAAACATGGCGAATTTTTCCAGCGTAGTGAGACAGTTGTCGTTGGAGGTAGCATTGGGGCAGGGATGGTTTTTTTTTACAAAAATCGGCTTACATAGATAACTAATAAAAGTTCAGATTATGAGTCAACTGACAAAAAGAAAACTGATAACCGTTATCCCTCGAACCCGACTCGGAATTAATCGTCGTAGCAATATAATTCGCCGATCCATAACCGGGAAATAAAAAGTCTAACACGGTTACCAAATTCCTCTCATCCCCCAAATCTGAAATCAACGTCTTACAAACCAGAACAGGAAACCAAAAACAAAAACCAAAACAAAAACCAGAATTAATGTAAAAGTAACTGAAACAAAATAAAAGACACCCTTTTCTCTGCCAGACAACAAGAACCAGTCTTGCACTTTTTGGCCTCACACCTTCAACCAGTGAAATCGGCGGACTTCTTAGGCAAAGCCTGCCTCCTCCCCGTTTTTTGTCCCATCTGTGGCCATGTTGTCTTCCTCGTGCTCTTTCTCAGTCTGAGTCTCCCAAATCTTCCTTCTTTTTAGGAACTCTTCCTTTGGTGCTTTCCCTCCTTGTGTAAAGCTTTGAGCCGAATCTGTTTTTGTCACTTTCTCCTTGTCTGTCAGCCTTCCATCCGAGCCAAATGCCCCTGGGTCGTCCCCTGATCTGCCAGAGCTCGATGAATCCTCTAGGAACCATGCGTGGCCTCCTGTTGGGCTCGTCTTCACCTCGCTACCTGCTCGAAGATAGGATCCAAACCTTTTTTCTAAAACCAAACCTTCTTCATAATTTAGAGGACATAAATTATCAGAGTGTCCAACCAAACCACAAATAAAGCAAAAGGTGGGTAGTCTTTCATATTTAAAATCTACCCAAAAACTTTTACCCTCTTTTTAATTTTCAGATTTGTCCCCTTCTTCAGTAGTTTATCCATCTTCATAAGAACCCTAACTCTCATATATGGTTCTATTCTTTCCTTTTTCTGATTATCAACATACTTAACAAATTCTCCTATAAAACTTCCCACACGTCTGGCAGTTCCCAGATTAACAAGACTATAGGGAACATTATGAATCTGAACCCAAAACCCAGCCTCATTTAACACAATTTTATGAGGTATATCATCAGGCATAATTTCCTTAAGCAAAACCAAACTACGTTCATACTGCCAGGGACCTCCCTCTAGAACACGCTTCATGTCAAAACGATGATTGAAAGAAAAAAGATACCTCGTTTCCCCAATCTCTTTAACCGACATACCTTTTCCTGGCCTCCAAAGCGCAATCATCTGTTCTTTCAGCTCCGAGAACCGGACCTTGCGATCAGTCAACACTTGTCGGATCACAGGGAAGCCCGTTACCGCCTCCTCAGCCGGAACTACTTCAAGCTCTCCATCATCAAGATCTATCTCAGCCTCATCATCCCCGATAGCCATTTGTTTATATTGGTCCACAACACTCTCCATGGACGTGAAACCTTCGCCGGAAAATTGCACCTACTACGACCAAGAACAGAAACCAGCCGACTGCTCTCAAACCTAACTCTGCCTGGCCGAGCCCCCTACTTAAAAAGCCGAAACCACCGCCTAAACACCCACTCCGAGAATGCCCTTCGTCCAACCTGCAGACCACCGCCCCTCTAACCAATAGACGTGCACTTCGTAGACCGAAGGCGGACAAACCAAAACTAAGGGTTAGCAGCCACTAACCCTAGAGAGAGAATAATTGATCCTTGGGGCAGGGGTGGGTTGGATAGTTGGATAGAAATTATAATTAGACAAATTAAAATAAAATATATCAATTAAACAAATTAAAGGGTTTTTTTTGTAAATCAATTAAACAAAGGTTAATAATTTGTTTTTGATAAAATGAAAACAAATCATTTTTGTAAGTATGTAGCCATGTAGGTTTGGTAAAAAAAAAACATGTAGGTAATATATTTATATATTTATATCAATTTCCCTACTGTAATAATCATGTAATGGCGCGTTGCCTTTGACCAAGCCGGAAAATCCCGGTTTCATTCCGCAAGCTGTAATGCCCAAGAAACCCGTATTCAGACTTCCAAAATCTCGAGATTCCCCGCGGGACGACCGTATGAATAAGATTCTCACGGAAGATCTATCACCGGTTTGTTTTTTCTCGAAATTCATTTACATTATTATTATTTCCATAACATTTATGGCCTTCACATCCTAATCCAATTTAGTCGAATACATGAACCGAAGTTGTCTTCTAATTTGCGGGAAAACTCATTGCTTTATCATCAAGACCGAGTTTCCTTGCTCAATGGTGAAAAAGTTGCCTTCATTGCGGGTATTTTGACTTGCGATGATGATCCGCGTTTTTTTCTTTTCTTAAGGATTCGTTGAGGGGAAACACTTATAAAAGGAATGAAAGAACAAACTTGGAAATGGGTTTTAGGTTTAATATATATATTATTAGTTGCATCCATATGGATTGCTGCTAGTTTTGTGGTTCAGTCAGTAGTAGATGCGGGTGTTTCCCCATTTTTAGTAACGTACATTTGTAACTCATTATTTGTGGTGTATATTCCCCTGGTTGAAATTGGACGTTATTTGGAGGATAAGTATGGAAGTGTTTTGTTCTGGAAAAAAAGAAGGGATTGTAGTTCTCAAGAACTGAGAGAATCTGAGGAGGTCATTCTTCTAGGGGATGGTTTTGAAGTTGATGCTCCAAGTTCAAGTGTTGTTGCAGATGTTAAAGAGGCCGGGGGAATAATAGTTCCGGGAGAAGATTTGATTGAGAAACACACAGATATTGGCCTGGATGCAAAAGGGCGCTGGACAAGGATTAGAGTTGCAAAAGTTAGCCTTTTGATTTGCCCATTCTGGTTCTTGGCACAGCTCACTTTTAATCTGTCACTCAAGTACACAACAGTTACGGTAAGCGTTTATGTTGTCTAGATTCTTTCCTCTTTACTCTGAAGTATATGTGGATTTAGAGGCGACCCCACAGGCGATGATCCGGGAGGCCCGCCATAAGGGTGTAGAGGGGACAAGCCTTCCCTTCATTATGCTTATCAGTATAATGAGAAAAAAATGAAAATAAGTAGAATAACTAGAATCGGTTTGGTGAGAGTGAGACTTATTTGACCGAAATGGATTAATCTCCTACCTTTTATAGGTAACAACCATTTCAGCCAAATAAGAAAGCCAAAAGCCACTTATTTTGCCTATTCTTCTTGTTCTTCTGTTGAATCAACTGCATCAGCTGATCAAGTGGCTTATGTCTACCAAACTGAGCCTGAGTATCTTTGATTTTCTCATTTTGCTTGAATGCTTTAAGTATTTAACCAAACCAGAATATTGTCCACTTTTGGTCCCACAACTATTAGGACTCTCACTGTTGGACTACAAATTTGATTGTTCAATTTCTGCTTCTATGACTAGATTCTTAGTGAGTTATGGTCCTTCTGACCACTTATCCTGTCAACTTCTGGTTGATTTTCACCAGAAAGGGTCATAAGTTGTAACAATATGAATGACCAAAAGTGGAAAATAGTTAAAGTCAGGGGG